GAGTTTTCGAGTTGAAGATAAGCTACAGAGTTCTTTGGCATATTAATTGTAAGTAAATCATCAGAAGCGCTAGTCTCAAGTATCTAGATGCCCGAACTCGGTCTGTAACCTGAGCTGGGTCAGAACAAACTATTCGTGCTTTGCAGAATTTCTCAGATATGGTGATGGTTTTCTTGACCGAACTCGAGCTGCACATGAGCTACAGAGTTGTTTGTCACAGCAGTCGACAGGAAATCATTAGAACCGCTAGTCTAAAGTATCTGGGTGCCTGAACTCGGTCTGCTTTCAGAGTTCTAACAAAAAGCTAGTCGTGCTCATTTTTTTCCAGAGATAACGATGCCTCTTCTTGATCCTGCCTCCTGCTCTTCCTGCTGCCCCCTTCTCCCTCCTGCTCTTCCTCATTCTTCTCCAGTCCTCCTCCATGACTGCGCCCTCGCGCGCGCGGCATGCGAGATTGCCGCGCCCGCATTGCACGAGGAAGCTCTGCGAGTTCCCGTTGGTAACCAATGTTGACGGTTTACCGCCGGCTCCCAGTCCGAATCACCCGAGAATGCCCCAAGGTGCCCCCCAAGAGGACCCCGAGAGGCCCCCAATGGGGCTCCTAGGATACCCCAGGATATCCCCAGACGGCCCCAACTACCTTCCAGGGTAACCCCAGAAAGTCACGAAGATCTCCCCCTCCTTCGACGTCCGCTTCCTCGGGCTCCTGACCGTCCCTCTTCGTCGTCGTCGTCGTCCTTTTCCTCCTCCTCGTCCTCCTCCTCCTGTTCCTCCGCTTCGTTCCTCCTTGTGCTCGTCCTTGCCAATGTTTTCCTCGTCCTTTTCTCCAATCTTCCTACTCGTCGTCCTCCTGTACCTGCGTTGCCCTCCCCGTCGTCGGTCGTCCTCGTCGTCCTCCGCCTTCCGGTCGCCATTATTCTTAATCCCTCTTTTCCCCTGCGAGCCGAATGGGTAAATTCGGTGGTTTCCGTTCTTCTCCGAACAGGTTTGCGTTCTAAGTGAACCAGAGTGCATGCTGAGTGTCGCAGATGGCACGTTGAGTGGATTAGATCTTACGTTTCGCGAAATAATGTGCACGTTGAGTGAACTAGAATGTAGGTTGAGTGATTTTTTTTGTCGGATTTTCCGTTGCCCTGCAGGTTTTCCGCCAAAGGTCTTCGATGTTCATTTCCGGTCTCGTGGTCCCGTTGGTCTTTGAATGGCGTTTGTTTTCATTCCCGTTTTGTCCTCTAGTGGCCACGTTGATTTCGCAGAGCTGTCATTTTTCACTTTTGCTTGCTCTCCTGTGTTTCCGGTGGTGTCTCACTTGTGTCCGTTTTCACCTCCGTTTGGTTTCTCGATGCCCCGCTGGTCTCTAAATTGTGTCCGTTTTCTTTCCTGTCTGTTTTTTGGTGTCTCCCGTTGGTGCGTCAATGGTCTGCGTTTCCACCTCCGTTGTCTCTCCCGTGGTCCCGCTGGTCTATCTTCGCGGTTTTCGTTTTCATTTCTGTTTGGCTTTGTGGTGGCCATGCTGATCTCCCACCAGCATCCGTATTCTTTTCCTTCTCGTTCCCGTGGCCTCGGCGGTCTATCAACGGTGTCCGTTTTCACTTCCATTCAGTTTCGCGTGGCCCCGCTGGTCACTCGAGAAGTTCCGCTTTTAACTTGCGTGTGCCTTGCGGCCCCGCTGGGCTGTCGTCGGTCTTTGTTTTCACCTTCGTTTGCTCTCCCGTGGCCCCCGTGGTGTCTCAGCGGTCTCCGTGTTCACTTCCACTTGCTCTCCCGTGGTCCTGGTGGTGAGTGTGCCCGTTTTCATTGCCGTTTTGGCTCCCTGTGGCCCCAGTGGTCTTGCGGTCGCTGTTTACACTTCATTTTGCCGCCTCGTGGCCCCCGCCTGTCGTCGACGGCGTTGGTTTTCACTTACGTATGGTTTTGGACCAGGACGAGGGCGGTTTCGGGGGGGTGGGGGGGCGAACGGTGTAGTTCTTGGCTGGCGCATGTGAGGTGCCGCTGCGCTTGTCTTCGTTTCTTCACCGCTGTTCGGCCATGTGGCGTGGGCCACTGTGCCGCGGTGGTCGTGTTGTCGTTCTCCGTCCGAGGCCTTGCTGGCTCCTTGAGCTCCCTGCAGGAAAGAAAATTAGCCTGGCGAAGGGCCCAGCCACATGCAGGTGTGAGTATCGCAATTGTGATGCACTTTTTTCCGGTGGGGGAACCGCATGCGGACTGCGCCGCGGGGACCTTCGGTGGAGCTCCCTATGGGGCCAGGAAGCGCTGTGCTGGGTGGGGGAGACGCATGCGGACTGCGCCACGGGGGCCTTCGGTGGGGCTCCATCTGTGGCCGCGAATCGTTGTACTGGGTGAGGGGAACGCATGCGGACTGCGCCACTGGGACCTTTGGTGGAGTTCCCTATGGGGCCACAAAACGTGTGAGGGGTGTCCTATGGGGCTTCGTGTCAGGGGTGTGCCGAAATGAGCGGCGGGGGCGCATGCGGGCTGTGCCACGGGGACCTTCGGCGGAGCTCCTATGGGGCCACGCAGCGTGTGAGGCGTGAGCCGAAATGAGCGGCGGGGACGCATGCGGACTGTGCCACGGGGACCTTCGGCGGAGCTCCTATGGGGCGACGAAACGTGTGAGGGGTGTGCCGACATGAATGGCGGGGACGCATGCGGACTGCGCCACTGGGACCTTCGGCGGAGCTCCTATGGCGCCACGAAGCGTGTGAGGGGGGCCGAAATGAGTGGCGGGGACGCATGCGGATTGTGCCATTGGGACCTTCGGCGGAGCTCCTCTGTGGCCACGCAACGTGTGAGGGGTGTGCCGGAATGAGTGGCGTGGGCGCGTGCGGACTGCGCCACTGGGACTTTCGGCGGAGCTCCTGTGGGGCCACGAAGCGTGTGAGGGGTGGGCCGAAATGAGTGGCGGGGACGCATGCGGACTGTGCCAGCAACTGGGACCTTCGGCGGAGCTACTATGGGGCCACGAAAGAGTGTGCGGGGGGGCCGGAATGAGTGGCGGGGGCGCATGCGGGCTGTGCCACTCGGGCCTTCGGCGGAGCTCCTATGGGGCCATGAAACGTGTGAGAGGTGGGCCGACGTGGGTGGCGTGGGCGCGTGCGGACTGTGCCACTGGGACCTTCGGCGGGGCCTCTTCTGGGGCCGCGAAACGTGTGAGGGGTGTGCCGACATGGGCAGCGGAGGCGCATGCAGACTGTGGTACTGGGACTTTCGGCGGAGCCCCTTTTATGGGGCCACGAGACGTTGTATTGGGTGGGTGGGGGCGCACGCGGATTGCGCCACGGGGGCCTTCGGTGGGGCTCCATATGGGGCCACGAAGCGCTGAACAGGGTGAGGCAGACGCATGCGGACTGCGCCACTGGGGGCCTTCGGTGGGGCTCCATATGGGGCCACGAAGCGCTGAACAGGGTGAGGCAGACGCATGCGGACTGCGCCACTGGGACCTTCGCCGGAGCCTCTATGGGGCCACGAAGCGCTGTAGGGGAGACGCATGCGGACTGCGCCACGGGGGCCTTCGGCTGAGCCCCTATGGGGCCACGAAGCGTTGTACTGGGTGGGGGCGACGCATGCGGACTGCGCCACGGGGGCCTTCGGTGAGGTTCCATACGGGGCCACGATACGCTGTGCTGGGTGGGGGAGACGCATGCGGACTGCGCCGCGGAGACCTTCGGTGGGGCTCCATATGGGGCCACGGAACGCCGTACTGGGTGAGGGAGACGCATGCGGACTGCGCCACGGGCACCTTCGGCGGAGCCCCATATGGGGCCACGAAGCGCTGTACTGGGTGGGGGAGACGCATGCCACGGGGTCCTTCGGTGAGGCTCCACATGGGGCCACGAAGCGCTGTATTGGGTGGTGGGGGAAACGCATGCGGACTGCGCCACTGGGACCTTTGGTGGAGTTCCCTATGGGGTCGCGAAGCGCTGTGCTGGGTGGGGGAGACGCATGCGGACTGCGCCACGGGGACCTTCGGCGGAGCCCCAATGGGGCCACGAAGCGCTGTACTGGGTGGGGGAGACGCATGCGGACTGCGCCACGGGGGACCTTCGGTGGGGCTCCATATGGGGCCACGAAACGCTGTACTGGGTGGGGGAGACGCATGCGGACTGCGCTACGGGGACCTTCGGTGGGGCTCCATATGGGGCCACGGAACGCTGTATTGGGTGAGGGAGACGCATGCGGATTGCGCCACGGGGACCTTCGGCGGAGCCCCTATGTGGCCACGAAGCGCTGTACTGGGTGAGGCAGGCGCATGCGGACTGCGCCACGGTGACCTTCGGTGGGGTTCCATATGGGGCTTCGAAGCGCTGTACTGGGTGAGGGAAGCGCATGCGGACTGCGCCACGGGGACTTTCGGCGGAGCCCTCTACGGGGCCACGAAACGCTGTACTGGGTGGGGGAGACGCATGTGGTACACACCACGGGGGCCTTAGGTGGACCTCCCTAAGGGGTCACGAAGCGCCGTGCTGGGTGTGGCGGACGCATGTGGTACACCCCATTGGGGGCGGGGGGGGGCACGGGAGGAGGAAGGAGGAGGAGACGCGGGGACCGACTCTTCAAAACGAGGACCCAACACCACAGGATGGTTGGGAACAAGTTCTTGGTTGGCGTATTTCAAAGCGTCACGACATCCTATGATATTGGGGAGCCAGGAAGTTCTTTAGTATCAACAAACGTGTGCTTACAGTGTTTTTCTCGTTAAAGTTTCCGAATCCTTCGCTCACCCTCTATTGTGGTGATTTTATTGGGTGGGAGTGGCCATGGCTCATTAATTTTGCAAAGTTTTTGTCTCGCGCTGGTCACCTGACATGCGTTACTAAGCGTCAAACTGGGATGAAGGCGAATGCAGAGCGTACCTGGCTCTCACCCCGAGGGGCTCGAGTGTGCCGCGACCGTTGCGCAAACAGCATATATGTTGTGTGTCTCCCAATCATGCTCAAAGTTCCCCGGAGGTTTGACTGTTCAGGTGTGTACTTTTTGCTTTCAGAAGTTTTCACGGGGAATTGAGCAGGTAGGCGTCTGGACGTCGTTGTCCACTTGTAAATTGGCTCAAACGAGTAGGGTCAGCCCTTCCGTGATAATGTAATTCTGGCCGTTCCATACAGACTAATTCCCACCATGACCAAGCTGATGCGAAATGTGTTTCTGGTTTGCGTATGGCCGCAGATGCATGCCCTCCTCGTTGGGAATAGCGTTTCGACGCCGAAGTTTTATATGATGGATCGCAGCCTCGACGAAATGTATACAAACGGATTTCAGAGCCACCCAGCCCGAGTTGGCACTTTGGACGAAGCGGATTTCGCTGTCACTTGTTGTTTCAACGGGCGTTCACTTCAAAAGTTTGCCAGCTTACCCCGGCGGTCTAAGGCAAAACCTTACTTGGTCATTGTTCGTGGATTGCGTTTGGATAGATGCTCGAAAGAGGATAATTGCGAATCCGCAAGGGAGTTGATCGAACAGCGTGACGATTTCATGTATGTAAACTTTGATCTGCGGGACCATAACTGCAAGGATGATGACGCGCCGCCGTTACGAGGAGTGACAATGACGCCCCCGAAGTGGTACGATGGCTCCCCATTGTCTGCGCTCCAGGATCCCAAGTATTTCATGACGTTCCGTGGCAGGCTGACGGACGGGTCTTGGATGGGCTTCGTGAGCCAGCATGTGCGAGCGCAGCTCCAGAAAGCGTTCGCCGACTTCAGGTCTGACGGCGTTGTCGTGGAGTTGTTCGACCGGAAGCACAAGTACAAGCCCGAGGACAGAGTGACGTACAACGAGATGCTGAACACCTCGTACGCCCTGGTGCCCCACGGCGACGGCCGGTGGAACTACCGCTTCTCGGAGGTGGTCGGCGCGTGCGCCATCCCCGTGGTCATCGCCGACGGGCTCACCCTGCCCTTCGAGGAGCTCATCGATTGGAGGGGTGCCGCCGTGTTCCTGCAGGAGGAGACGTGGGCGAGGAGCGGCAGCCTCGCGAGGAGCACCGGGGCCGGGGCGGCGGGCCAGACGTCACCGCCGGACGCCAGCTTCTTGCTGAGCCAGCTGCCTCGGGATCCTGCCCAGATCCGCAAGATGCGGCAACGGGTGTGCGAGATCAACGACAAGTACTTCGCGACCGCGGAGAAGAGAATCACCGCCCTGTTGCAGTCTGCGGCGATCCGTGCACTGCAGTGAACGGAGCCCTCCTTTGGCCAGAACGCTCTCTGAAGCACGTACGTCTGCAAACGCATCCGAGCAGGCGCATCAGAATCGGCCGCAGCCATCTCTGCATGTTCGCCCTCGGATTTCATTTCTGAATGTCATGAGGGTGGGCCCGCGGGCGCGTCCAGTGAATGGCCGGCCCCAGCTACCAAGGGACGAGCGCGCCAGCGGAGTTTAGCCTTGCTGGCCCAGTAACCCTGATGGAAAAGCAGGCTAGTTTGTTCCAGGGGTCCGAGAAAGGAGCGAGGAGGAGGACAGAAGGGAGACAGGAGGAGGAGGAGGACAGAAGGGAGAAGGAGAGAAGAGCAGGAACGCAGGAGGAGAGGAGAAGGAGGAGGAGGAGGAGGTGGAGGAGGAGGAGGTAGGAACGGAGATAATGCTATAGTCTTAATCGGCAGGTGAAATGCGGGAATGCTGGGTGGAGTGGAAAGAGGAATGGGAATGAGGACATACATCTATCAGCCAGCGAAGACTCCCAATATTTCAATATAATGAAATTACTCCTACTGCACTTTACTGTGCTCTACTCTATTCTGCTCTGTTCCACTCTACCCTGTTCTACTCTACCCTGCTCTACAATACTTGGCTCCACTCTTGTCTAGCCTACTTTATTCGACCCGACTCTATTCTCCCATCTACCCTACTCTGCTCTGCTCTACTCTACTCTACTCTGTTCTACTCTACTCTACTCTACTCTACTCTGTTCGATTCTACTCTACTCTGCTCTACTCTGTTCTACTCTACTCTACTCTACTCTACTCTACTCTACTCTACTCTTCTCTAATCTACTCTACTCTACTCTACTCTACTCTACTCTACTCTGTTCTACTCTACTCTACTCTACTCAACCCTATCCTACCCTACCCTACCCTACCCTACTCTTCTCTTTTTTTCTCTTCTCTTCTCTTCTCTTCTCTTCTCTTCTCTTCTCTTCTCTTCTCTTCTCTTCTCTTCTCTTCTCTTCTCTTATACTCTCTTATCTTCTCTTCTCTTCTCTTCTCTTCTCTTCTCTTCTCTTCTCTTCTCTTCTCTTCTCTTCTCTTCTCTTCTCTTCTCTTCTCTTCTCTTCTCTTCTCTTCTCTTCTCTTCTCTTCTCTTCCTCTTC